AACCTTTGGAATATACGTTCCCAGAAAATCTAGGATTACAACTCCCATAAATCCTTCAGGCTTTGAGACGTTTTAGTCCAAGAACATCTGGGAATCCAAGGTTGGGAACCACTGATCTAAAGAATAAACAACTGAACAAAAAACAACAAACTCACTTCTTTAAAATAGAAGGGGATATTCTATAAATTATTTTTGAGACTCAGTAATAAAAAAGTAATATAAATATTTAGAATATGCACAAAATATGCCCTTAAGCTCCCCAAATAAAAAACTAATTTGCAGTTGCATATTACACAAATTATTATCCATATTTTAATACTTATTTCTTCCTCATAGGATTCATTGTCATTATAAATTTGAGAAAGTAATCATTTATCTTTAACACAGAAATGAACACTGAGAATGAGATGCCTGTTATGTTGCTATAGTTTCCTCGTTTGCCCCTTTACATACCGAGAATTTTCCTTTGGCACATATTAATATTTATAAGAAGATCTGAATTTTTATTTTACATATGAAAACAGCAAACTCAGTTGATGTTTTCAGGCTTTTAGACTCATCTTTATTCTGAAAAGATTTTGTTCCAAAATAGCAATATTGTTAATATAGTATTACATATCACTAGTAAAGCTTTTAAACTTTTTAAAATTCAAAACCCATCATTACTCAATAGGTAAAAGCAGCTTAGGGAACAAACACTTTATCTTTTTGTGAATTAGACTGGTGTAATGCCCAAAACTCTGATGCAGAACATTATCTCACCTCAGCCATTAATTCCTTACATGGTTATGGAAAAGGCCCCAATTCTTCCTTTGTCAACCCTTCCCCCCATGCCACCTGTAATACAGAATAATAATTCTGTTCTTCCTTATATCTATGTTGTGAGATTGTCTGACAAAGTACTGTATGCTAAATGCTTGGAAAACTTAAAATATAATATATATTCCACTAAAATCCCAGTAACTGTTATAGTACCAGTGGACCATTTAAAGGGGAATTGGAGCAGATTACCAAACACTCCCCCCCCCAGTCAAACAGATAAGAAAAAGCCACCAGCTACCAGCTTATATTTTGTCTGCTTCTGAGTGCGAATATGAATAAATTAAGTCATTATCCAGACAATACAGAACTATTTTGGGTAGGAAAACTAACTACTCAGAAGGGCACAACAGGTCAGTCAAACAAGATGTTGATGAGAATGCTTAATGTCTACAAATAACCTATTTTCCTTTCCCACGAAGATATATACATCTGCTATCATATCTGCAAATTAAGCCCATGTTTATCTCCCAGTGACCAACCCCAAAACAAGACAGGGTAAATGCAAAATACATAAGTGCAAGGACAGATCCTATTCACTGAGAAATCCTGGTCATGTAAATTACACAGCAAAAGACAATTTTTCAGAAATTAAATATTTCCTAGTTCTGTCCCGAGGCAATCTTGGCTCCTGTGTAATCTCTTTCACCATCAGGCACCTACAGGATGCCAGACTTAGGCTATCAGTAAAAACTTATTAACTGTTAAAGCAGTACAACAATCAAACTTCAGGAGGTGGTGAATGCTCCAATGCTGAATGAATTCAAGAGAACACTGGACAACCACCTGTCAGGCCTGCTTTGATTTGGATTATTCCTGCACTGAGCAGGGAGTTGGACTCGATGGCTTTACACAGGACCCTTTCAACTCAATTATTCTATGATTCTGCCATTGGAGGAAGTCTGGAAATTGCCACCACTCGTCAAGTAACCCTCGCAGCAGCGATTTTCCGTAATTAAATATTTCCTTCTCCCTTCCCATGGCCCCCACAGATTCCTAACAATGAAAGGGATTACAAGACAGATGTGGGTGCCTCAAAACAGTAACAAGAAATGGCTGAAATCCTGTTGTTCAGATAGTAAGTCACAACTAGAGCAGGCTCGTTGAATCAATGGAAATTACAAAGGAACCATTTCACCAAATTGCTGTTGATTCAGTTGGCCTATTCTAGGTGCAACTTAGTATGTTGAGCAACAGGATTTCAGTAACTGTTTAATTTTTGAAAAATGCTACATAACTTACAGGATTTCAGCTAATGATTACCGATCACATTAGCAGGGAAGAAATTAACATTGTTAAAGACTGTCTATTAATTGGTTCAATCATCAATCAAAATGGAGACTGCACCCAAGAAATCAGAAGGTCCAGATTTGGAAGGACAGCTATGAAGGAACTAGAGAAAATCCTTAAGTGTAAGGATGTGCTGCCGAAAACAAGAACAATAATCCATTCTATGGTATTCCCAATTACTGTACTTGTATAGATGTGATAACTGGGCAATGAAGAAAGCTGACAGAACAATATTGATTCATTTGAAACAGCGTCTGAGAGCTTTATGGATATGATGGACCACTAAGAAGACAAATAAGTGGATTTAATCATATCATGTCCGAATCTCACTAGAACCTAATATACCTTAAACTGAAGGTATAGTACGGTTGTTGTGGGTTTTTCGGGCTTTTAGGCAGTGTTCTGAAGGTATAGTATTTTGGACATTTCGAAACAGTATAAGACCCATTAGAAAGGCTATAATGCTACAAAAAGTGGAAGGCAACACGAAAAGAGGAAGATCTAGGCTGAGATTGACTCAATAAAGAAAGTCATTCGTTTGCAAGATCTGAGCAAAGTTGTTAAATTAAAAAACTTTTTGAGGGTCATTAATTCATAGTTGTAAACAACTCAATGACCCATTCCAACAACATACTGCACCCATTGCAGTGCTTGCTAATTTGTTTCCAAATCCAATTTAAAGTCTTTTTAAACTGTTGAATGTTTTCAATATACACTGGTGCCTCACAAGATGAATGTAATTCGTTCCGCGAATAGCGCTGTCTTGCGAAAAGCAGCTTCCCATAGGAATGCATTGCAATGGGAACCTCACAAGACGAATGAATTTTTTCATCTTGCGAAGCACTGGTCTCGGGGGGGGGAATTGTCTTGCGAAGCATGGGCATAGAAGCCGTCTTGTGAGGCACCATAGTGATCGAAAAAACCATTCGTCTTGCGGTTTTTTAGTCTGCAAGGCATAAAATATGCCTTCTCTTACTGATACTTTAAATTCATTGTTATTATTATTGTATTGTGGAAATTTCCTTGAGAAGACATTTATCCTTAAAGGCAGCTTGTTCATCTTTTACAAAATAAAAAAATGTATTTTCAAATTGGTCAGCCCTTTCTTGTAATTTTTTCTATTACTAAAACCCAAACTTAACACTTCCACTAAGCACTCAGTATATGTCTCAACTGGTTCATCATAATGGCTGAGATGGCTTTATGTCCAAAAACTAGTCCCTCTTATGGAAAAACAATCCTGTAATCTTTGTCAGCATTTTCTTGACCATAGCACTGTGTGATTATTGGTACTACTAAAATTACAAAATCAGGTCACATTTCATGTTTAAAAGAAGCCTTTTAAAAAGCCAAGGAATTACCTTTTTCAGTGTTAATGTACTGCCATCTACTGGAGATTTATTGAAAGACACAAAGTATCCATCACAAATTATAGTACAGGCCAACTAAAAAGGCACAAAAAAGTGTACAAAAGCACAACAGAAGTGTAAGCCTTTAAGAATATTATCTCTATCAGATTAAGTGAAGAGTTAGGAAATCTTTAAATTTAGTAATTATACCTTTTCAGGTTTATTTTTTATAAAGATATGGTCAACTACCTCCCAGAGTAACCTTTGGTCTAGATGGGCAGGATAGAAATCCAATAAATAAATAAACTTTACTGCCAACGCTTTCCATATATTTTTGTTCTGAGATTTTCAACATACCCTGGAAATCTTCAGTTAGTGAGGGCAGATATGAATGGACTGAATGAAGCATTAGTCCCAACTGTCTTACTTTCTAAACAGCCTACTAAATGGTTGCATAGTGGGGCGGGAAAAGATCAAACCTATCCTAAATTTTTGAAAAGCATTACTAACAGCTAGGCTCTGTGGGGAGCAGAAGAGCAGTGAATAGAGGATTTATTCTGATGTGAAGAAGCAGGGGTGGGGGGTGACTACTGAACCTATTTGAATGATGAAACGATCAAAATGGGGAACAGGATCAAGTGACCAGAGTAAAACATCCTGCCCTTCAAAATAAGAGCAATTCAGGGTCGCATGGTTGGCTACAAGAGGAGATACAACCAAAAGTCATTCTCCTCTGAATCCTATTTCTGCACCTCAAAACCTTTTTTCTTCTTGCACTCTGCATGAAGACTTCTTCTGGCCCTTTTCCCATTGACTAGCTGCCCAGGTGTTGGGAAGTTGTACTGTTTGTTTTCCTTCCACTTCCACTTTTTAAATTGTTTAATATTGTAAGATGCTCCTGTGGAGGAGAAAGGTAGGATATGTTTTAAATAAATAAATAAATAATATCTGAAGTGCAGCTACCAGTCAGTGTCAATAAGGTATTTATTTAACACATTTTTATCAGCTTTCTGCCCAGCAAGGCTCCAATATTGGCCAAACTAGACTGACTCAATGTGCTACACTTATGTGCTTGGTCTGATCTTTCCGTCAGGCTAGATTTTCTTCTCTTTTTTTAAAGGAAAAAAGGCACCAGGAAACCACCATCATCCTCATCATCCCTCCTCACAGGCCGACATCTGCGGCTGCCCAAATGGCCCAGCCTGTCTCCCGCGCCTGTACAGAGCCATGACTGGTAGCGCGTGGCAGGAACTCAGCCGGGGAAATCCTACCTCCACACCCACACTCCGCCAAAAAAACAACAACCCACAAATCGCCGCCGCGGCTGACGGCAACGCAGCAGGGCCACGCTCCGCAGCCCTGGCAAGCGGGACCTCGGCCCTTGCAAAAGCGAGACAACCGCCCTTGCTTCGGGGCTTAAACGGCGAGCACGCGGAGCAGCAAGTTTCGGTGCACGGTGATGCCCGGGCGAGGTGGCCGTTGCTGGGAAGCTGGTGAGGAAGGGGGGGGGGAGGAAGGAAGGAAGGGCGGCTCAGCCAATACCTGCTCAGGCAGCGCTCGCACACGCCTCCGAGGCGCTTCTTGGTGACGACGTAGGCCAAAGGCTCCGCGCGGTAGAGCAACTCGCCCGGCTTCACCGGCCTCAGGAGGCGCAGGCCGTTGCCTTTGCCCGGGCTGGCAAACTTCTCCATCGCCGCTTTCACCGACGAAAGAAACTAAACGGAGAAGACCCAGAACCAGCCACCCTTCCCGCCTCTGAGCCCACGTGACGCCCTGTGTTGAGCCGGCGGAACCATGTTTAGTAGGGGCACGGGCGGCGTCCGGTCTCTTTGGCGCCCCCTCCCGTTACCTGTTCAAGGAAATGACTCGTTTGGCCAGTGTATTGGCTGTTAAAAAGCGCGAGCGACGGGGTTTTATTTTATAAGAACATTTTATATGCTCCAGTGACAGGTGGTTAGATATCCTCTGTTTATAGTCATCCATTTAAAGATGGAGCCTGGGCCGTGTTTGGAAGGTCTCCCACCTACCTGCCCAGTGCGAGTCAGATTTAAATAGGAGAAACCCCATCCACTTTTGTGAGCAGCTGCACAGCGGATTCCGCAGACAGGCAGCGTGAGGCATTTTCTTCCCAGCCCCGGATGCCGGGAGAGGGCAGCAAAGTATATTAGATAAGAGGGCGGAACAAGCTGTTAGGCTGGCCTCCCACGCCCCCTTGCCGTTGGTAGTCCCACATCTGGGAAACCACGTGTTGCCTTCCTCTGCTGTAGCCCTTAAGCTAGCGCACCACGCACAGGTTCAATCGTAAACTATCTCAGTGGTTCTCAAACTGGGGCCCCCAAATATTCTTGGACTGCAGTTCCTATAAGTCTTCACCACTTGCTGTGCTGGCCAGGATTTCTGGGAGTTGCAGTCCAAGAATATCAGGGGACTCCAGTTTGAGACCATTGCTCTATCCTATTTAATGTGTAGGGGGCATTCAACTCATAGTTCAGTAGCTATTGTGTGTAGAATAAGAAAAGGAGCCACCTTGTTTTTCCTCTAAAGCAGCCAAACACTGACCAGCTTGTCCTAGATGTACAGTACATTGCTAGGCATGCAATGGGGGGGGGGGAGGCTTGCTTAGGAAAGAAAGGGCCAATACTGTTTGCTTTGTCCTCTTATGCTTTTAGATTTGATATGGCTTGCACAAGGTATCAAGGACCAAAATGATGAGAAATTCATTGGGGAGGGGCAGGAAGCACAGGTTGATCGATGCGGCCAATATGTTGAAGGGCAGAGTTGGTTAGAGCTATCTATTAGCAAGAGGAACTAGAGACCAAATTGCTAACATGCACTGGATTATGGAGAAAGCCAGAGAGCTCCAGAAAAATATCTACTCCTGCTTCATTGACTATGCAAAAGCTTTTGACTGTGTCGACCACAGCAAACTATGGCAAGTCCTGAAAGAAATGGGAGTACCTCACCACCTTATCTTTTTTCTGAGAAACCTACATGGGACAGAAAGCAACAGTTAGAACTGGATATGGAACAAATGATTGGTTCAAAATTGGGAAAGGAGTACGACAAGGCTGTATATTGTCTCCC